ATGACAATTTAATTGTCAACCGATCCCCTGAATATTTGAAAAATGAGACGGGAGCGAATTAATTCCCGCTTTCGGTTAACATCAGCATGAAATAAACATTTATCACGAGCCATAATTTGAAGGACTGGCCCAGAAAATGGGCGTAATTAGATAATTGCCCTGCATTTCAAATGAAACATAAATTTTATATTCCTCCTGCGATATTCTCAAATCCCGTTCGACGATTTTCGGGTAAGTAATACGACAAGTTCCGCATTTGCATGCACATAAATATTTTTAATTCCAGTCCGCATCCCAACATTTTGTAGTTAAATGGAAGGAAAGTAGCGGGCTATTGGCTAAAAAGTACTTAACATTTTACCCTCTTTTTCCGTATTTTTAATGGTAAAAGCCCGCTTGCCAAGTAGGCCAATAAATGTTGCGAGATATTTCTTCGCACAAATTTTGGCGAGTTCATCGAAGAAGGTTAATGCTTTGATTCATGAATAACCTGAGCAAAGATTTTTTTTTGTTGATGCGCAAAATCAAATCGGACTTCAGCACAAAGAGGCCCCGAGATGTGGACGTAATTGAACCTTATTGTCCCCACGTCCGCATGGTGGAGCATGTTTTCCCTTAGACTTCAATGGGAATATATTCAATTGAAATTAATCGAAAAAAAATGTCCTCAACTTCAAGATACAGAAATAAAATCTGGAAAAGAAAACCACACAAAATCTGATGTTTTGGTATGATAAAAAATCAAAATGCAAAATAAGTTTAATGGAAAGAGTTCTGTTTGGATCAGGAATTCATAAAAAACTTTATTTTCAATTGTTTTGAATATAAAAAGCTCGAATTGTTCCAAGAGATTTCAAAATTTTGAAGAATAAAATGTTTCCGGCTTTTTTGGAAATTTTGGTAAAGCGTNGAAAAAAAAACATTTCGCTTCCCAAGAATATAGTTCTTCTGGTTTGTTTCGTTCGCAGTAAATTTAGCATTGGGTCACGTTATTACAATGAACCTTGAACAAAAGGGGTATTTTTCAGTTGAGGGTGCATTTATTGTCTTGCATTCTTTATTCATCAAGAAAGAAAATTGCTCTTGCTTAATGCTTATTAATGCTCATGTTCTAGATGCAGAATTTCATAACTCCTGAACAACACTTTTTGGATTTTATTTAAAATTACAGTTGAACCTCTCTCAGTCAAATGTATTCCGGAGACCATGAACAAAATTTGATTTAGGGAGGTTTTTGAATAGGAAATTAAGCATTTATTTGCAGGAAACATGCAAAAATTTCATGAAATTGTAAATGGTGATATTCTGGGCCTTCAAAATTACTTCTCAAGTGAGTTATTACAGAATGTTAAACTTGAAGGCAGGGCTTAATTTGCCCAATTAATCTGGCACGTCATTTCAAAACACATTGAGTTATTTGTTTTATTGCTTTTATCTTTCATGTTAAGTATCAAGAAAGTAATAGCCAAAAGTCTGCAGAAAAGTTGACTAAAGGAGGTTTGAGAGAAGAAGACCTTGAGTTAGGGAGGTTTCAAATACTGTACTGTACATTGTTTCTAAGAGAATTCAGACAGGGATTTGATGTTCAACTTATCAAGGTTTCACTGGATAGACCTAACCTAGAATTTAAACTACAAAAAGGGGGTTGAAAAAGATGGAAAACTTAAAAGAAAATATTATATCACAACATGGGATTTTTAACCAATTTCAACAGACAATTCAAAAAATGGAAAAAATGGAACACCTGCATTAAATTCGACTAGGATTCAAATCAAAATTTCAAATTTGATGTATTTTACTTTCAAAATATTTCAATTGTCAGTTGCTAGAACTGGGGTGCACATCTTACTTGAGGGAAATTTTACTCCAGATATCAGGTTGAAAAATGCAGGTGCATGTCTTACTCAAGGGGCATATGGAAATCAAGAACAGTTGGGCCCCAAGATGTGGACATAATTGGGGCTTGAACATTATTGTCCCTATTGTTGGGGACTGAGGGGTGCAACCATAAATAAATAATTACAAAGTATCAATAAACTGCCTGGCATCCCTGAAACTGGTGCTGAGGCTTTTATAGAGCCCAGCACCAAAGAACTTGTCCCCAAGAACCTTCAAAACTTATATGTACAAAATTGCTGCACATCATCTTTGAATTTGACTTGAATGGCCAATCAGAAAGCAAGGAGCAAAGAATCCCAACCTTCCCCAAGAACAAGTTTAACCCAACCCTTCCTGGAGAAGGCTTAAAAAAGCTGCAAAAACTTGAAATCAATAGCACATTCTCATTTGGAATCTCATCCCCATTCTTAGCTTCCACTACTTAAATCAATTCTCTGAGAAATTGGGTGAACTATTATGTGCATGTATTTTTCTTGAAGAAGATGCTGAGTTGATTCTTTTGGGTCATGAATAGAAATGAATTTCTACGAAGAGGTTCCTAACCAGTCCCAAGCTGAATGTGCTGTTTTATTCATAAATTATCTTTCTTTGGGAAAATCCTTAATGCCTATGTTGGGATTGTCTGCATGCTGGATCACATTGCCCTACTGACTTCAATGGAAACATATTCAATTGGTTCTCCTGTTCATAAAAAAATAATTATGTTTCCAAAAAATTGAATAAAACTTTCTTCTCAACTTAAAGATACATAAATTACATGAATATTGAAG